TTTGCCTTAGTTTTAGGTGAAGCCCTTGAACAGATAGAACCTGCCACTTATGAAGAAGCTATTAATAGAAAATATCCTGAAAATTGGATAAGCCACGCAGGAAGAAATGAAATCTTTGAGTGATAACAAAACCTGAAAACTTGTTAAGAAGATCGGAAATTTGTTCCATGTAAATGGATCTACAAGTTAAAGGAAGGTTTGAACCCTAATAATCCTGTGAGGTTTAAGGCGAGATTAGTGGCTAAGGGTTATACTCAAAGAGAGGGTGTTGACTATAATGAGATATTTTCACCCGTAATTAAGTACAAGACAATCAAATTGATGTTGGCTCTTGTTGTTCAATTCAATTGGAAACTTGAACAACTCGATGTAAAAACTACATTTTTACGTGAGGCATTGGAAGAGGACATCTTCATGAGTCAACCAAAAGGTTTTGTGGCTAGAGGCAAATCTGATTATGTGTTCAAGTCAGAGAAATATTTTTGTACAGACTGAAACAAAGCCTAAGGCAATGGTATAAGAGGTTTGATGCCTATGTGCTAAAGATTGGGTTTAAAAGAAGTGAATTTGATGTTTGCTTATATTTTAATGACATAAAGAGCGGTTGTGAAGTCTACTTGCTGCTTTATGTTGATGATATGTTGTTAGCTCCACCTAGCAAGTCTTAAATTAAAGAGTTGAAAGATCTTTTAAAATCGAAATTTGACATGAAGGATTTAGGGAATGCTAGAAAGATTCTCAAGATGGTGATAACAATGGATATGGCTAAAAATAGGTTAACTATTTTACAAGAAGCTTATTTGAACAAAGTTGTAACAAAATTTGAAATGAAAGACAGTAAAATTGTGAATGTGCCTCTTGCTAGTCATATATCCGTCATGTTTTCTATGATTACTACCAGATCTGATCTTGCATTTTCCATGAATCTCCTAAGTAGATTTATGTCCAATCCTGGCAAGCTACACTAGGCTGGAATGAAATGACTGTTGAGGTATTTGGTTGAGACTTTAAATCTGGGTTTAGTGTATGAGAAAAGATCTGAAAAGTTAACTCTTAAAGGCTATGTTGATGCTGACTTTGCTGGTGAAAAATACAGTAGGAGATCAACTATAGCATACTTCTTTACCCTAGGTGATAACTGCATAACATGAAAATCCCAACTACAGCGTTTAGTGACTTTGTCTAGTACTGAGGTAGAATATGTTGCCATAACCGAAGCGATTAGGGAATGTATTTAGTTAAAAGGAATCTTAAAAGAATTGAACTTCATGCATGATACACTTTCTATGTTTACTGATAGTCAAAGTGCACTATCACTTAGTAAGAACCATGTTTATCATGAGAGATCTAAATATATGGAGGTGAAGTATTATTTCATTAATGAGAAACTGTCTTAAGATGAAGTCGAACTTATTAAGATTCACACTGATCGGAATCCTTCTAAATGGGGACAAAAATTCTGCATGTAGGAAAATTTAAATTGTGCTTATTTTTGTTATATATTGAAACTGGTTAACTTTTTTTGCAGGTAGTGGGCGATGATGATGAAGAGTCCTTCCATATGCAAATTCGCAACCGAGAGAGCGTGTCACGAGAACCAATGTGAAGAATGTGGGCTTAAATGGTTCTCCTAACACTTATTGGGCATGTGGTATTAGTGATATTTTTAGTGTTACTTATTCTTTATTATTGTTGTTTAAGTAGCACTCACTTCTTGGTAGTATTAATAGTGACCTGGATTGTGTGTTACTTTGGAATTGTTCCTGGCTCTTGGATTTAATCCACGGTTGAGACTTATTCTTGGTTTTGATATTTCTCTTGGGCTTTGGCTTTCGAGAGAAGCTCTCTGACTCTCTTCGTGGTTCCTTCTTTCTTTCTTCTGTTAAAGTCGTTCCTTCTTCCTTTCTTACTGTGGCCTCTGAAATAGATCCTTCTAGCCTCTCGATTGAAGAAACTCTTGAGTAAACTTGGGCCTGAAATAGTGGCTAAGTGGTGTTGTATTTCTCGAGGGCTTGGTGTTGATTTAGGGTTTGAATCTTGACCATTTTTGGTAGATCCTTGGATCGATAATCCAAGCCAAGTGATGAGAGGTTCTGAACGGTTCTTGTGCTCTCTTTGGAAGGTGATTTGTAAGGCATGAAGGCTATTCCTGAGCCTAACATTTCGGCCATTGAAAAGGGAAGCAAAACTAGAAGGGAAGTAGCATTCTGTTTATTTTCTAATTCGATTTCAGTTCCTATGGGCCTTTGTATATTCTGTTAATTGTTAATGTATGCTAGTTTTGAATTATTGAACTCCGTTATTCCCAACAATACTCTTATTTTGAATTAAATAAAAATAAAATAAAATAAAATGAATTAGCTAATTTCTTTCTGTTTTCCATTTTTTTTAATGGAAATTAGCTGTCAACTATCCTACAAAAAATCCAGTTCTGTAAAAACTACATGATCGAATGTCAAATAGTCGAAGGGGATCTAGCATCCTTTTATGTTTCATTTCCTTTTTTCCTGAAATTCTATTTTTTAAAGTCAAATATTAATTTTAATTGTACATTTCATAAGATCTACAAATACTATTGACCTATTCACCTTTAATTTCTTAAAAATTATAATTTCATAGATTTTTGGTGGAATTTGATAAAAACTAATGACATGTATAGTCGAAAAGTAGTGAATTTTATGGGATTTTATCAACTTTCGTTTGACAATTTTAATCTACGTCAAACATGGCAAAATAAGTTTTGAGATTCCAATAGCCCCCGTTTGGTGCCCATTATTTGAATTTTTTTTTTTTTGCCATAGATACATTTCTAAATACACATTCATATAATAAATGTTCTACACGTAAATTCAAAATTTTTTTTTACTTTTTAATTATACATTCTCCCCAAAATATCATTAATTTTTTTTTTTTTTTTTTAATAATGAGCACCAATCAAGCAAGGCATAGTAATTACTTCGGTTGATAAGGACCGGACATGTTGATACTTGGATGTTTTCAAAGTCCTTGCAAGTTGTTGCAACACCCCTCACCACGTCAAACGCCCAAATAATGACTGTCTTCTATTAAAAAAACGAAAGGTACCTCCTAAGTCTTTAACTTTAATTCAAAAGCTCAGTGTTTCCTATTTCATCACACTTTTGTCCTTACTGAATCCCTTCTGTACCCCAATTACTTACTCATAAGTCACTCTTCAAATCTAGGGTTCTACCCTCTCTTTTTCTTGACTTGCTTTCACATGGTTCAAGAAGTGTAGAAGTCTGTGCAACTCTGGATTTTCTGCATTTTCAGAATAAGCTTTAATGCGGGTTCTGTACAATTAATCAGGTTCAAGACTACCTTAATGGGTTTCGCTTTTTCAATTTTCTGTTACTTTAAGGCCTGAAATTTTTCCTTTTTTTTTTTTCAAGTTATGTACTTTTTCTGTAATTGATGAAAAAACCGTGTTAAACCTTTGTTAAAATATTCCATTTTCTTTGTGGTTTAGTTTATCAATTTATTGTTCCTTGGGATTATTATTCTAATTTCTTTAGCGGGTCGATTTCTTACCTGCAGAGTCTAAACGCGTGAGAAGGCTGTGATTTTGCAGCGATAAAGTTCATAAAAATTGGATCTTTAGTGTGGAATTTTACCAAGTAAATGAATGGATGGAAGGGAAGGGATGGCATTACACGGTTCAGCTTCATATTACCTCAATAGAGGAGGCATTGGTGGGTCTGGTGGTTCAGGGTCTGGTCCTAATGCTCCGGCCGGTGGCGGGTTGGGGCCACAGACTGGTGGGTTCCACACCCCTTCCGGTTTCAAGACGTCTTCAGTTCCCAACTTCTCACTGCAGCCCAATGCAGGGGTCAGTGGTGGTTCTGTGAGTGGCTCAACATTCCATGTTGAGACATCCAGTTTTCCTGATGCAATAAGCACGGCTGCAGCCTCTAGTGTGACTCCGGGTACTGATTCAGGGAAGAAGAAGAGGGGTAGGCCCAGGAAATATGGTCCTGATGGGGCTAATATGTCTTTAGCATTGTCCCCTTTGTCTAGTTCCTCGCCTTCGTCAGGGGAAAAGCGCAGAGGGAGACCTCCAGGGACTGGATGGAAACAGAAACTTGCCCCTCTTGGTAAATTTTCTATATTATCGAAGTCCTTACGTTGATTTGTTCAGTGATGTATGTGGTAGATTAAGTTATATTGTAGTCTTCGTTATTAATCTAAAACAGTCTTTATATATTATATATGCTTTAAAGCATGTTCTCTTTGCCTGCAAGGTAAGAACACTGTCGTCCAACAATATATATATGAAAAAAATGGATGTGTTTCTTTTAAAGAAGGCAATGCATTTTGATGAATATAACCTCTAATGATTTCTTCATTTTAAATGTGAAATTTTGCTCTGTTGCCTCCAAAGTGCTGTGTGTTTGTGGGACATTGGAAATCCTTTTCTGGGAATTTTGGATTAATTGTTATTATTGTTTTATTAAGCTTCCAGGTTCCCAGTGTTTGTTTTTTTCAGTTACCAAACAGCCATTTGGGTGGGGTTATTAACGTTTTTTCTATCGGAGGAATAAATGAAATATGAACTTAGGAGGGGATATAGAATCAGATCTCCAACCAACGAAAATACAAAATAGTAAAAAATTAATCAGTGTAGTTCGCTAATACCTATCTATTAAGTTTTTATGGTCTAAGAAAATGGTGCTCTTAATCTAGTAATTTTGTTGGCCAGGTGAATGGATGAACAGCTCAGCTGGACTAGCTTTTACACCTCATGTCTTGCACATAGGAAGTGAAGAGGTATGCTACAATCCCTTTTTGGAGCATTAATAAAATAGCTGCTCAAGCCTCAGGACCTTTTATCCGATACCATCAAGGTTTTGGATAAGTCATATGGCACACCTGAAAAAATATGATTAAGATACCTGCTGTGCACTTTGATCTGATATAGCAGTGGTATTATTATAATGGTGAAAGTATTTTCAGAAGTGCACATTGATATGATATAAAGTCGTATTCTTATAATGGTACAAGTATTTTCTGAAGCATATGTGTAATATGCTCAATGACATGGTTTCTAGAGTTTACCTGACATGAGTTAGTCGGATTTATTATTTGTGTATGGTACATCTAACGCATTCAATTTGCAATGTTCAAGTTTTCATGTATAGCGCGTGCTATTATGAGTGCACCAGTGATTTTTTTCATCACTGACATACTATGGTAAGAGAAGTAATTATGGCTTTCATCTGCAGGATATTGCGGCCAAAGTACTGGCATTTGCACAACAGAGACCGAGAGCTTTATGCATCTTATCAGCTAATGGATCGGTTTCCTCAGTAACACTACGCCAACCTACAACTTCTGGCGGTACTATCACATACGAGGTTGAAGCACTCCTGGTCCTTTTATTGTGCACGTGCACTTAAATTCAGAAATTGATTGAAGCATTTTTACCCTTCGGTTTTAAAAGTGGTTAGCATTTCAATTCGAGGACAGAGACTGAACTTGTAGATTATTATATGATGTGATGTAGCCTGATAAGAGGTGTCCATTAATTCGTTTACCGCATTTTTTTTATAATTGTGTGTAGACAGTGAACTCACATACATAAGGTAATTCATAATTGTTAAAGTATCTTCCGTGCAATGCCTAATTTACTGTGGTTTTAAGAAAATCAATGGAAATTTGGAAGGATTTTGAAAATTATATTTTAACTGGGAAATAACTTTAGTTATGAAATTATAGTGTTAACTTGTGGCTCGAAGTCATTCTCAATTTTCTCCGTTCTGGTAAGGGAGCATTGGGTGAGGGCAAGTATGGATATCATTAATCATTTATCATTACCTGATTCAGTATAGCTGCTTCAGCTGGGATTTTGAAACTGATAAAGAGATAAAGCTGGTTGGAAAACATGTTTAGTTGAATTGATTATGTCGTCAATTTCTGAATGGTTTAATTATTGTATCTTCCAGGTCTTTTTTTAGTTAATGTTAAATAAATCTTATCATCATTAGATGTCCATTTTACTATGGGATCTGAGTTTTTCATTAAGAAAATTGGTAACTGTAGAGAGTATCTTATCACTTGTTTGTTCATATTATGTCTTCGTGGTCCAGTTACTGTATCATCTATGCAAGCTAGGCTGTGTTTTCAAAGAAAAATAATGATCACACAATAATTGTTATGTCCATCTCATTTGTCTCAGTGATGAAAAAAAGAGGTAATGAATTAGATTGCATTTAATTACTACCAAAGAATTTATGTTCATTGCAAATTACTGTCTCGGTACTTCTGGCTTTGGCAAATATTTTGACACATGCTTATCAAGACACTGTAATGTAATTATTGTAGGTGCGCAATTTTGTTCTTTCTTTCTGAAAATGATCTATGTAGGAACTTTGATGTTGACACAACTGATATTTGAGTTATTTACATTGGGGAAAGTAATTATAGCCAAGGGAAATAAATGTACTTTGTGTTTCTTTTGATTGAAAATGCATCTCACGTTTGGCCTTCTTTAACTGTCCAACAATCTTGAATCCCTATTCTAGAAGACTCTGGCAGTTTGATCTCCTCATGCTTCGTTTTATGGACTTATTGTACATGAAGGTTCTCATTTATAAAGAACAAACAGAGCCTGTACAGTGCACATGATTACTTGCATTAAAGTTGGGGATTTTAGAGTAAAAACAAAACTGTTTTTAAGTTTCAATATTACAATGAAAAATTTCTTCTGAACAAGGCCATGACTGTTGGATTAAAGCTTATATTTCAACCACCTTGGATGCATTAGTTTCCTACTCAACTGCGTTGAGAACTAGTTGTACTCCTGTATGCCTTCTTTTCATCACATGCATATGTAAACTATATGCAGCCTTAAGGCACACTTGTTTTCGCTGTTATTTCTCCAGATTAAAGTTTTGCTTGCCATTCTATTCTACACTAAGATTTTTGATTGTATGTTATTTTTCTTAGTATGGAGTTATGCACATCAATGTTGAAACATTAACATGTTTATCAATGTTGATTTATGCATTTCGACGAGGCTAGGTGTCGAAATTTATCCAACAGTACTAGCAGTTCTGTTACCTGCTTTATTAAAGATTTTATCATGTAAGCTACTTGCTTATATGAATGTACTGACTGGCTGAAAGAAAGGATATCCATGCAAATGGATAAGAATTGTGGCATAATCTTGTTATGGCACGGTTACAAATTGGTTTTTATCACTGTGTTTTCTTTGTGCTTGACACTTGTGGGAAACGATTTGTTAACTTGCAATAATCGTCGAACTCTGCAACTAGAATGAGTGATTACTAAAGTGAATTCGTTCTTTATCATCATCATCATCATCATCTATACCTTGCACTAAATCATATTTAAGATGGAGTAGATGTAAAGGCCTTTTTAATTGAAGACATCTTGCCTTAAGACTCAGTAAAGTGAACTTACACAATTTTGTCGCATTCTTTCAGGGCCGTTTTGAGATACTATGTTTGTCAGGTTCTTACTTGGTTTCCGAAAGTGGTGGTCGCAATCGGACAGGTGGTATTAGCATTTCAGTTTGTAGTCCTGATGGACATATTTTTGGGGGTGCCATAGGTGGTCAGCTCATAGCAGCAAGCCCCGTGCAGGTATGTATTTGATTGCTTTATATTTCTCTGTCAGGCGGAATTCCCTATTTTTTCTATTCATAGGTTAAATTTCCCTCCTAGTGAGTGAGAGCCCATGAGCAAATTCTGCACCAAAGAAATTTTTATCAAGATTTTATATGCATTTTATCTATTGCTCTGATGTCAGCATCAAGTATATCGAAGCCACCTAACATTCTGAGAGAAAATTAGTTTCCAAAGAAGCACACTGCACTTTTAAGTATCTTCTGCTTTCTTTTTGCAGTATTGACGAGTGCATAATGAATGTTCTGCAGGTCGTTGTATCCAGTTTTGTGTATGGTGGTTCTAAGGCAAAGAGCAATACAGAGTTCGAATCACAAGATGAAAAAAATCCAGCCGACCAGTCTGTTAAGAAATCTTCAACACCAGTTAGTGCTGCTCCTGGTCAAAACTTCGCTCCTAATTCTGCAACTGGCATTTGGCCATCAGGCTCACGGCCTGATGTGAAAAATCCTCAATCTGATATTGACTTGATGCGCGGGTGATAGCTAAACTAGGCGCATAGCAGTTCTGTAAATATGTGTTGTTGTACATGAAATGCTGCCAGAAGATCAAGCAGCATCGAAGCCCTTGAGTAGATGTGAAGGGTCGTCCTAACATATATGTAACAAAACGTTCTCTTCTTGGTTCTTGAGTAGCAGTAGTAGATGACTTCGGTTGTTAATGGACTATATTTGTAGCAAGTCTAGTTTTGTTTTACCTGAAATCAATTGGTGGGGTTTCTTCTCTCTGGGTATCAACTCCTGTTGTGTAACTGCAGACCTTTAATTTAACTTAATTTTTAAGACTTTGGTATCAAAATTAATGCTCATTACTCAAAAGTGGTAAAACTCAACTGCACCTGTGTGGAAACTTAGGATGTGTTTGATGTAGATTTTGTTTAGAATAGATTTTGCGAAAAAATGAGTTTTTTGAAGAATTTTTTATTAAAAAATAGAGAAAATTATGAATCTGTGTGCAGAATTATTTTATTGATAGAATATTTTTGTTGAAAATGAGCTCGGAAAAAATAAATTTTAGAGAATCTGTGCCTAACATTATTTCGAACTTTTATGTTTATGATTTTAGCAAATATGACTCGTTAAAAGATTTAGTTGTATTGCAAGACATTTTGTGTTGAAGTGAATAGAGTGATGTAAAAAGCAATACATATATAGTGAACTTAATTATTGCATAATACAAATTTACATATACAAATTTCTTTATTTATACCCTTTTACATTTTAAATTTGAAAGTATATTTTCTCTTTCTTTCTTATTTTAATTTACATAAAATAGGTAATTTTTATTTAAACAAGTTATTTTTTCCTCTTTCCTTATGCACAAAGTGGTTTTATCTAAAAACACTATAATTTTACAGTGGTTATAGAAAAATTGAAGTAAATAATTACCCCAATATAATTTTATTTAAACATTTTTTTTAGAAATATTTATGAAGACAGACGTCCATCTCATTAAAAATAGGGCAAAACGTAATCTAAAACAATTTTGTATAATTCCAGAAAACAAGAACATGGACGGAATGCCATGATTTTAGTATAACCGCGCTTGCTTGTTTATGTTACATAAATACCATGATTCAAGCATGATGAAATTTAAATATGGGAATGTGTACTCCTACAAAGGTTTTGAGTTAAAAAATTGCTAATTACACTTTTTCAAGATGATGTACACTTTTTAATAATTTTCAAATCTTAGCTGTTTGATCATTTGATCAAATGATCACATAGCAACGCTTAGTTCCAATGTCTAGACTTTCCACTTTATACATGGCCATACGCTCTAGACAACGGACTAAGAGCCCATTTGGCAAGACTTTTAAAAAGTCAAAAGTTGCTTATGAAATTAAGAAATTAATTTTGAATATATTTGAATAATTTTTTGAAAGCGTTTTGTCTTGTTAGAAGAGTCTTTAGAGGAAGATAGCCTAAGGTAACTTACTCAGACAAGAAGCATAAGTAAAAGTAGAAGTCCTGCCAAACAGATCTTAAAAAAAAATCTCAATTTATTGGACCGCGAGGCATGGATTTAGTCTAAAAGGAATTCTAAGGCTGTCAAAAATGTTTGTTGGTGTGTTGATTAGTCATCAGTCATTATTCATTCATTATTAATAAAATATATAGCCTAGGGATTCCATGCAAAGGACAACTTGCACCGAATTTGGTATTTGTTTGATTGTATTAAATAAAATGTACTGAATATTCGAGGAGGAATTTGTATGTTTATTAAGTGATTATTGTCTATTAGTCGTTAAATTCTCTAGTGGTACTTAAGATTGGATTATATATTTAAGGCCTTGTATGGGAGGGATTAAAATTGAAAATATAGCCGTTATTGTTGACTTTTATTAGACGAGTGGGACCCAATAATAGTCATATTTTCAATTTTAATTGGCTTTTAATCACTCCCGAACGAGGCCTAAGTAAAGGCCACAACCCACAAGACAGCTGCTTCAAATTCTACTGTATATTTCATTGACATGAATGGATTAAAAACAGTATATATCAATTTTTCACTACAGTGAAATAACAAATACTAGACAAGAGTTCAGTAAGCTCTTCTGCATCAGTTCCTTGTTCCACGTATTATCCAGCTGTGATGTACATTACAAGAAGAACATCAATTATCTGTTTCATAAAAAATATGTCTTGTTCGACCCTATTTTTCTATATAAATTCTAGTAGAAGTGCAGCACAGAATCATCCAACATTTGTATAAAAACTTCACTTGAATAAATTAAAGAAATGGGAGAGAAAGTACCTTCCTGCACTTGGAATTTGCTCATGTTCCTTTTCATCCTTTTTTCTGTGGCCTGTTCGTTGGCTACTGCACAAAAATGCAGCCCTAGTGGGAAAATTAGAGGAAAGAAACCCCCGAAAAACCAATGCAACAAAGAGAATGATTCGGAGTGCTGCATACAAGGCAAGTTTTACGACACTTACGAGTGCTCTCCACCCCTGGTGAAGGGACGGACTAAGGCGACTCTGACCTTAAACAGCTTCGAAAAGGGTGGAGATGGAGGCGGGGCTTCAGAATGCGACGGGAAATTCCACTCTGATAAAACAAAGGTGGTGGCGCTGTCCACCGGATGGCTGAAGAATAACATGAACAGGTGTAATAAAAATATTATTATTCATGCAAATGGGAGGAGTGTGAAAGCGAAGGTGGTGGATGAATGTGACTCTACAAAGGGGTGTGATTCTGAGCATGATTTTCAGCCACCGTGCGCAAATAATATCGTAGATGCTTCTCCTGCAGTTTGGAAAGCATTGGGGGTGCCAAAGAAGGATCGGGGGTTGATGGAGATTTTCTGGGCTGATGCGTGATTTTCAACACCAAGGCCAACACGAATAAACTACAAATTTAAGAGGAGATTTGAGCCTGACCTTAAAGGTCTAGAGGATTACACTTCGTGCGTCCTAATCAAACTCTTCCTTACCATATGATGACGAGCATAGGCAAACATGCTTTGACTCATGTAGCATTATTTTCATGAATAATCCATCAAAAACATTTTGATAAGTGGAAAATTATGGTGTCTGGTTTTCTCGTTAATGTTGAACAAATCATGCCAAATTTAAGTCAACCTCAAAAGTTTGTGCTTTCATTTTATTTCTTTATTAATCAAACTTTGTTTACAATTTAATGTAAAAATCTCACAGTTCCTTTGATCAGCAGAATGGTGATTAACATTCCTCAAGAAGATAATCCTGTAGGATGAGAAATGGTTTTTCCTAAATTTACAAGTTCAAATTTCATTCGCCTTTAAAAGAGGCTGATACAACAAGGAAACAATTAAAAATCTATTCCAGGCGAAAGACTAATAATTACAAGAATTCGAGTTTATCAAGATTATAGTAATTTGATTTTGACAATGCTATCTTTTATTTTCAAGTTTGTCTAGATAGGAAGTTTATTTAATTTCAAAGTCGTTCTCTATACAAAGGGACTTGGGGCCGTGTTTATAAAGAAACTTGAACTATACGAATAAAATTATTTCTGTTTCCCTCAATTCTTCCCTTTGATCCCCTTTCTTCTTATTGTTCATTATCAATTTGTATGCTCCTGCATCACAGGCCTTCCAAATGAAGTTACACTCAATTTGAGTGCTTGTCTACAACATTAACACAACACGTATTAGTCCCAGATGCCCCAAACGACTAAGTTAATAAAGAGAAGTAGAACCTGTAAAAGGTGGAAAGCTTGATCCTAAATTTATTGAAATAAAGCTTAGTTTAATGTTGTAAATACACAGTAAACTTACAATATGACCAGGACCATTATTTAGTACCTGAATAGAGCTAGACCACTACATCTCTTAGGCTTGCTCATGCATCTTCTTATTATCCTTTTGCAAAGATATAATTACGTAAGATTTCTGAGACATCCCCTCATCATATTATACTATGGAGAATACCACGAAGTATTGAAGATAGTTACCTCTATGCTAAGAGGAGATGTAGTGGGAGCATAACGATCAACAACACGCCCCTCTTTGTCAATTAAGGAATTTGGCAAAGTTCCATTTAATGTTATCTCCAAAGAGGCTACCTAGCTTGACTTAAGAAATTTGTATACTAGTGTAGAGTTTCGATGCAGGAGCATCAGAGTCAGACGAAACCGAGTTGTCCGATAGCTCGTTGATGACGTTGAGATACCATGAGTTGGTGGATCAGCATAAAAATGGCAAGTAATCGACGATCTTTCCTAATTGGGGCCGTTTTGGGACACGTTTTAGTATTTTGGCCATAACTTTGACCACGGTTATCAGAATTGCACTTCGGAAAGCTCTTTTCAGCGCGAACGTCATGGTCACCCAGCTTCACTCGGTGCGCATCGATTTCGAGGGCAAAATTCTCTATTTTCCCTTCTAAATTCTCAATTTTAGTTATTTTTTCCTTTTTTGATAATATTTCGTTTGCCTTTTAAACATAGATTATGAACTTGAATTAAGCCATATTTTTGTAATATTGTTTCTTTTATTACATACTTTCTTTTGGTATGAGTATTGAGATTTTGCTATTTTTTAGTAAAATTCCAATAATTATGGTTTTCAGCTATATAATTCGGCTTGTGGTATATTTTTGTATATTGGATGAATAAAAAAGAATTTTCTTATTTTCTTGGCGTTTTCTCTTGCGTTATTCTCTATTAATTCTCTATTAAATTTTAGCCTACAGAATAATCACTATTCTGTCCGACGACAAGTTGGAACCATTTACAGCAACCTGAATCCATAAAATGGAATGTGCGTCAACTAGTCGTGAGAATTCCAGTCACTGGAATTTTCACAAGTACTCTAATCATTGAGATATAAACACTCAAATTTACATGGACAAATATTGAAATAACGTGGAAAACTTATTCTTCGGAAGGTGCCTATCAAGTATATCTGCAAGCAAATGAAATTTAGTAATTTACGCCGAGCAACAAAACAAGAAAAATAGTTCTTTTCTATGCATGAACAAGTTACTATCAAAAGCAA